TGACCCAGCTGCAACCAAGCAGCACATCACAATTTTAACAGAAGCAGGTGGCCAAGCCTTTCTTCTCAGGGCCTATGGGTGGGTTTGAACCTCCAAGCTTTAAGCACCACCAGAAATCTTAACCTTCCCCATACTTCATTGAATCTTCCCCTTCTTTCAATTCTTGTCAGATCAACCTTTTGAGCATGCCCTCTGTTTTATATGGGGACCCAAAGGATGCAGCACCCACAAAAATAGCAGGTGAAACCTCTCACTCTGGACGGGGCCCTAGTTCATTCCATTTTCACCGAACAGCCCCTGTGGGCAAGTTTCCTTTGATAAAGATGAACTTGGCCAGGAGTCTGGAAAGTTTTCTCATGGGGGCCACATGGTAAGTCTTTTACGCTTGCTGATCAAGGTCTCAGCTGCAGCTGTTCAATGGAGCTGTCATTAAAGAAGCCAGAGACGCCAGGTAAATGAAGGAGGCAGTGGGCTGCATTCGGCCCACAGGCTGTGCTTTGATGACCCCTGGTCTTTCCTAGTCTGAAAATCTGGTTCTTGTTATTTAAAAAAAAAACACAAATAAAAGAACTTGCTTCGGATGTTCCACCAGGGGCATCTGTGTGAGCTGGATACTGATGTGCCTCTGACCCTTTTCAGGGGTTACTTACCTGAAAAATGAAACCAAAGAAAATGAAACTCTCTAAACCAAACCCACTGCCGATGTAAGGCTTCCAAACCCTGGAAAGCTGAGCAGGCAGCCTCATCTTTCTCTGGAGGAGGGGCTGGCGGGTTTGATCTACTAACCTTGAGGCTAGCAACCCAGGGTCTATCTTATAGCACCATCATGGTTCCTTTCACTTACCTCAGGTTTCCAGAAATGTCAATGTCCACATGGTGAATGGAGCTGTTACAGTGGGTCATGGAGGCAGTGGGTCGTCCAGAGGGGTTCTTGCCCAAATTCAGAGACACTGAGATGAAAATGCCATCTACTCTCAAATCAAAGGTGCCCTCCAGTTTGCTGGTCGGGAGACATGAGAAGCGAAAGATTGTAATAATCAGGGTCAGCTGGTGGGAAGAGGAGCCGAAAGATCACAGACTCAGGTTTGACTCCATGTTCCCACTAACCAGCTGGTGACTTCTCAGAGCCTCCATCGGCATCCATGCAAAGAGCCAACGTTTACTTAGTGTTTGCTGTGTGTCAGGCGCAAGGCCCGATGGCTTACATCTGTTGTATATTTCTAAGTGCAAAACCATGTCTATGAGATAGGCTATTACTAACTTCATCATACAGATGATGAAACTGAAGCCTAGGAATAATCAGATGTAGGATCTTCATACTCTAGACTTTTAAGGAATGGGAGTGACTTGGACACCCTTGCCCCAAGCTGACAGGTGTTCCACTACTTACACGATACCCTTTTTCACCTTCCATTTCCCACTGACAGACAAGTTATTTGAGAGGGTAGCTTTCAAACCATGCCCTGGAAGAAGACTCAAATCCAAGTTCCGGATATCGAAGTGCTGCAGCCTCAGTCTAGGGAATGAAGGAAGATAATCAGTCCTAGAAGAACCAGGGGCACTGTTTGTTCAAAGGTATTGGCCCAAACCACACAAGAAAATCAAATCATCTCATCAACATCCTTCTTGGTTTGCTGAGGGCCCTGCCTTTATATAATAGTTTGTCAATTTGAGAGGATTAAGAGTGAAGGGGTGGAATCTAGCCTGTCAATCAGGTCATAGCCAGTGAGACCTGTGTGTGGGCATGGCCTTCTCCCGAGGATTCTGGAAACTCCTGTAGTCCTCTCTTGGAGACGGGAGACACTCTTTATCTCGGCTCTCTCTCAGAGAGACATTCTTGTTGACACACCACATGGAGACAGTCTGATGGCAGTCAGAAGGAGCTACGTGGAGACCCCTGCCAGTGCTGAGACGCTTATAACGTCACTGGATCCACAACACTCCCCACCCTCTGGCCTGTGATTTTCCTGCATTCAGCATCATTGCATTTGTTTTCCTGAGTTGGAAGAGGACTTTATAGATTCATATCGGTCATGTGGGGTAATATTGGACTCATGGACTTGATCTGGACTGGGCTGAGATGTTTTCTCAATATTCAATTGCTCTTGTATAGGAAGCGCTTTCTTATGCACTTATGAGTGTTTATGAATTTGTTTCTCTAGTCTTCCCAGACAGACACACCCAGGAAGCTTTCTTTGACATAGGAGCCCAGACTTTCCAGTCTCCTCTGAAACCCCTCTTTCCCAGTACCTCTTCCTGTCCATCAGACTCACTGGACCCTCACAGTCATCATGCATTGCAGGACCTGGCTCGGGAACTTGGCCCTGGCCTCCCCCAGTGATGCAGCCTTCTTCCCCTCTGGCCACCTTCACATACTTCAAACATATGAGAGCGTTCACAAGTTCACAAGCTGATCAAGTTCAGATCAGAGGGCACCCGCTGGTCATCGGTGGACTGTAAATGGCTTGTTGCTGTTAGGTGCCCTCAAGTCCATTCTAGCTCATAGTGAGCTCCCTTGTGTACGACAGACCCAAACCCTGCCCGGTCCTGTGCCGTCCTCGCAATCTTTCCTGTGCTGGAGCCCGTTGTTGCAGTCACGGTGCCAATCCATCTTACTGAGAGCCTTCCTCTTTCTCGCTGCCCCTGACTTTACCTTCTCCAGGGACTGGTCTCTCCTGAAAACACGTCCAAAGTATGTAAGACCAAGCCTCACCATCATGTCTTTGAGTCTTACATAGTGTTTTTGAAAATTTGAATTGGTTGTCAGTTATTTTAATATTAATACATTTTACACTAAATTGCTTGGATGTCTGACTTCCATGTTAAAAAAAAAATAGCGAGAAGGCGCCCATTTCCTTATTGAATCTATCAACTGGCAGGTGTTCTCCAGGCAAACTCCATGCTGGCCATCTGTTTTCATTGGTTCTCAGCGCCTGTCCTTGCTTTCCTCCAGGCGATACTGAATAGGACTGCCCTGGGCAAACGATATTCTCCAGGCTCCCTGCAAGTTGCTTTTGGAGGGGAGGTGAGTGACGGGGGGGAGGGAAGAAGGCAGGGTGTTCATTCTCTTCTCTCTTTACCTGAAATTGTACACTTGGCAGTGGTTACTCCTATAAAGAGGACAGTCTCAGAAACCCACGGGGCAGTGCTACCCTGTCATGTAGGGTTGCTACAATTCACAATAGACTCGATGACAGTGAGTTTTGTTTGCCATTTCCACAGTGGTTACAGTTTCCTGCTGGATACCACTTCTTTTGTGATCCTGGGTCCTACCTGGAACCCTTGACTCCCGTGTTCTGCTGATATTATCTCCTTTCTTTGTTCCTCCAGCTATGCGGATGTCAGTGACTTCTTGTTGATGCTGATTTCTGTCTTGTCTTCTCATTCCTCTTTGGCTCTTTAGTCCTTCTAACACAGCTGTTCTCAACCTGTGGGTCGTGACCCCTTTGGGGGTGGAACGACCCTTTCACAGGGTCACCTGATTCATAACAGTAGCAAAATTATAGTTCTGAAGTAGCAGTGAAAATAATTTTATGGTGGGGGGTTACCACAACATGAGGGTATGTATTAAAGGGTTTTGGCATTAGTAAGGTTGAGAACCACTGCTCTAACATCTTTGCTGTAACCCCCTGTATTAAATTCCTTCCATTGAAGTCCCTTGTTGGGTTCTGCTTTCCTGGCTGGTCCCTGATAGATGTAGTCCCCTGGCATGATACACTCATCTATATTACCTGTTGGCCTCTGTGGCCGCTTAAGTTTGTGCCCCTGGTCAATTCAACACTCATTGATCCATCTAACAATCAGTCATAGAGATCCTGTCCTGTCAGACCTAGCTCCAGGCACAAAGGACACAGAGATTCAAAACCTAGTCCTTGCCCTGGAGGAGCTCACAGCTGGTGCCTGATCTGGATGTGTTTCCAGACCCCAGTAGCCCACCCTGGAGACCAGGTGCAACAGGTGGTCCAGGGCTGCAGAAGGAGCACCTCCCTCCATGCATTGGGTTCTGAATATTGTGGGTGTGTCCATGAAAAATTGCTCCTCTTTACCCCCTGCCTTCAGGAAACTGTCTCAGGAGACTCGAGAAGGATTTCAATAATCAACCTTTTCCATCAGTGATGGCTAATAGATGCCTCGATGCTTATTCTGAGCACTGAGGGGTGGAAGGAACAGTCTATGCAACCAAGGCAGGATGCAGAAAAAGTGAAAGGCGGGACTTTGGAGGCTGAATGAATGAAAATGGAATATGAGGTCATCATTTTCTGAGGCGAGGGAGATACAGAACCAGGAGGACTCCTGCTTCCTTCCTATCTGGGGAGATGGATGTTCTACTCAAGGGGAGGATACACATGCCGTGTAACAGGATCTGTAAACCTGAAAGTCTCTGCAGACACAGTCCTAACAGGCTGGTGTGTGTGTGTGTGTGGTGCCTCCAGGAGACCTCTAGTTTGGATGAATGAGAGGAGCAGACATCTTGGCAGGGCCAAATTCCAGAGCAAGTTTGACATAGGACTGGTGAATGGTTTACTCTGCCTCTCCCCTCCGTCATGATTTCTTTAGATGTATGTCACTCCCTCCCTCCCCCCACCCTCCCTCTCTTCCTCCCTCCCTCACTGCTGTTGAGTCCATGCTGGCTCACAATGACCCTAAAGGACAGAGTAGGACTGGCTTGTGAGTTGGAGACTGTAATTCTATGGGAGTGGAAAGCCCCATCTTTCTCCCAAGAAATATATGGCACCTTTCAAAAGCCCCACCAGAGACTCCCTCAGCCTTTAGTCCAAGAAATAATGCCCCACCTGCTGACTCCTTCACTAGTTGTTGTTACTCCTCCACTATGAAGGACCCCATCCTCCTCCTTCACTGCCCCGTGCTAGAGAATGAAGACCTTACCTGCCTTACCTGTAAAAGTCATAGTGCACATTCCCAAGCAAGCCAGCTTTGAATTTTCCTGAGAAATCAGGCAAACTCATGGTGGAAAGCTCCCTCGTCAAGGTGGCCACTCCATATTGGCGGGCTGGGGGTAAACAGAAGGGGCTTTGAGTCAGTTCAACAGTTTCACAAGGGTGCCAGGCCATAACAATTACGTAGATGATAGATGTTGCCCTTTAAGGAGCCCTGGTGGCATCATGGGTGTGCACTGGGCTCTTAACTTCAACGTCACCAGCTCCGTTGCTATAATTTCAAGCAAGTCCCTGACCTTTCCCAAGCTTCCATTTCCCAATCTGTAAAATGAGATAAGAATACTAGCCTGAGCCTAAGAATTACATTAGACCATGATATCAGTGTGCTAGCTAATAGTCGTCCCTGTTGTCTAGCCATTCAACCAGGTTTTGGAAGCTGTGGTAGTATACTGTGGGGCTTTTGAGGAAACCATTAGCGTGTTTAGCCATCTGGCAAGCATGTTAAGCACACAGCTTGCAGTCAGTTTGGTGTGAGTCGAGGGGTCCACATTTTAACATGTGTTCCAGAAACTTTTAACAGGGGTGGGAAAATGCTAGTCTAATTCTATCCTTACCTTCTTACTTTCAAGATGGGAACACTGAACCAGGAGAGTCTCATCTCCAACGTCTCTGTGCCCCCAGTGGCCGAACCCCAGCTCTGTGTCCTGTGACCCTGCCTCTCTAGGGGGCAATGACAATAAGCACCAGAAGGAATGGCCACGCCCTCTTACCATAATCCAGGCCTGTTCTGGTGATCCTGGCCACAAACCCAGGATTAGAGGCTCCTTCTCCAAACCTGGAGACCTCTACCAGCAGCAGCAGCAGGGCCAGCACCACACAGGAGTGTCTGGCCATCATCCTGGTCCTCAGCTGTGTCTCAGGCAGAGGATGGTCGGGGCCTCTCCGCAGGTGGTTGCCTTACTGAGGGTGACAGCAGAGGATGGATACATATAAAGCCAGGTGTCACGTGAGGAGTGGAATCAGCTTGGTCTCAGGGGCGGGGAAGATGAAAGAATTTGGAGCTGCCCAGTTCTCAGAAACTCAAGAGGGGGAGAGGATTGCTGGTGAAATTGTTTGAGGTTTGTTTCTGGTGTGAAAGTCGAGGACATGGTGTCACAACATCAGTAACTTCCTCTTCAAAGCTCTCCAGCATGGGGCTTTCTCTCTCTCTCTCTCTCTCTCTCTCCCTCCCTCCCTCCCTCCCTCCTTTCCTCCCTCCCTCCAATCCTTTTATCGGGTCCATCTGTCTCTAGTTGAGCACTTTCCCATCATTCTCTAGAATCTACTGTGGAAACAGAACAGTCAGCGTGGGCAAGTCAAGCTCACCATAACTCGGCCGCACTGCCCTTCTCCAGCAGGACCTTCCTGGGCCTCAGCCCCAGCCGCAGCCCACCCCACCAGAACTTCTGGTTTCCACTTACATTGTTTAGAGAACACACAGATCCCCCTCTCCCCGACAAAAAAAAGAAAAAACAACAACCAGACCAGATTGCTGTCTAATCAATTTAGATTCATGTCAACCCTGTATGTGACAGGGTAGCAGCAATACTCTATAAGATTTGAGGGCTGTGTGTGTGTGTGTGTGTGTGTGTGTGTGTGTGTGTCGTAATCGCGGGCTGGTCATTCAACCCCCCTTAGCTGCTCTGCGGGAGAGAGAGAGGAGGCTGTCTAGGGGGCAGAGCTATTCTCTTGTACCAGGCTATCTATGTTGAAATCGACTCCGTGGCACTGGGTTTAATCTGAATGGAAGCAGATGATCAGGTTTTTCTTTCATTGTACCACTGGGTGAGGAGTCCCTGAGTGGTGCAAACAGGTAAGTGCTTGGCTTTGAGCTGATGGCTGACAGGTTGAATCCACTAAGTGGAATTTCAGAAGAAAGGCCTGGAAAGGGCCTTTGAAAGGTCACCTTTCAAATCCTTAGGGAGCAGTTCTCCTCTGCACCCACGGGATGTCCAGGAATCAGTGGAATTGACTCTGGGACAACCCAGAACAGTCATGGGTATGTGGGCTGCAACTGCTAACCTTTAGGTTAGTGGTTGAACACAAACCTAAATTTGCACCATCTGGTGGCGCTGTAGGTTCTGCATTGGGCTGCCAAACACAAGGTTAGTGGTTCAAATCCCTAGCTACTCCCCAGGATGGAGATGAGGCTGGCTGCTCCAGTCATGATTCACCATCTTGGAACCCCTCCACAGGGGCTCTATGAGTGGAATCCACCTGACAGTAGTGGTTGAGCTTAGGGATGCTGGCCTTGTTTCTAGTTCCATGTCCACATTTGCAATCTCCTTTGCTCCTGACTGGGGTGTTTTTCTTTTCTCTGGGGGCCCTACAATCAAGGGATTCCAGAGTTTTTTTGGGGGGAGGTTTTCTCATTTATTTTGAAACCAACTTTACTGAGGTATAATTTACGTGCAATAACTGAACCTATTTTAAGTATAAAGCTCAATGGATCTTGACACATGGATGTACCTGTGCAACCGTACTGTGATCAAGATATAGAGCGTTTCCGTCTCTCCCTAAATGTTCTCTCATGCTTTTCCTGGTTCTTTCTGGCCAATGTCCTCCCACCGCCTGTCCCAGAAAACTGTGGATATTCTTTCTGTTACCAGATTAATTTAGCCTATTCTAGGACTTCATTTTAATAGTATCATATCCTAATTATGATTTGATGACTGGATTATTTCAGGTGTCATGGTGATTGAGAGCTTTATTCATGTTGTTGTGTGTATCAGTTGATTTTTTGTGAGCCCCTTTTATTTGCCCTGGTGGCATATTGTTATGAATAGGGCTACGATCCCAAAGGTCAGCAGTTCAAAACCACCAGCCCAATCCTCTGCAGAAAGACCAGCTTTCTACTCCTGTTAAGAGTTACAGCCTCAGAAACAGTGGCAGCTTGACCCTGTCACTATGAGTCAGCATTGGCTCGATGGCAGTGGAGTTTTGGGCCAGAACCTGAGCTCAGTGCTAGGGATACAAGATGGTACGATATAGCCGTGTTGATGTAATTTAGGTTATGATGGGAAAGAGAGATAGTCAATATTTTAATATATAATTAATTGCCTTTAAGATGTGATGGCAGGCTTTAAGAAGAAAATGTCAATGTGATAAACTGAGCCAAAGCTAGAACTGGATGTATTTGGCCAGTGTCACCAGGGAGCTCTCTCTGTCCGGATAATACTTGTTTTTCCCTGCTGGGTTCATTGCCTGGCTGGATTCCCCACCCCGAATGTGACAACCATGGTCACTGGGAGCACCAGTTTTTCATGGCCATTAGATAAGGTGCCCACCCTTGGACAAATCATTATCCCCCTGATTGGCTGAACCAAGACACAGTACTCTCTTTTAGATCTAGGGTGAGAGTGGAGTCAGAACCATGGATCCACAAGGACAGAGAATGGGGAAGAAATATGATTTCAAATAAGGAAGGGAAAACATGATGAAATTAATACCACAGATATAGATTGTTGACATTCCATCCCTAATTGGTCTACTTTGACTTACATTTGTGACTGAGCAGAACACTGTGATTCACTATTTCTGGGATTCAATTCATCCAACTAGGTTTCTTCTTGGGATGGGAAGGGAGAAGTTCAGATCCATGTGTAGCACTCTTCACCATGGCTCAGGTAATCATGAAGGGTGCCCTGATGCTCTTTGCTGCTTTCTGCAGCTGGATCCTGAGCTTCCTCAGTGAAAAGAATTGCAAACAAGTTCAAGGGATCATGGAGCAAAAGTTAATAAAAAAGATACATAGATTTGATATTCGCACATGGAACATTGGCAAGGAGGTGATGGGTAGTTTGATATTTAAATTTGCTTATCAAATCCTTCCTCCTTAATGGTAAAGGGTGCATTTTAAGACTTTCTCTCCTTTGTAAGATCTCATATGCTAAAATGGCATTTTGTGTCAACATGGTGTAATTTGATGATCTAGTTATAGGTAACACTGAACAAAATGATGGATGGAATCCTTTCCTCACACCATCCACAAACCAACACTAAGAGTTGCAAGGATTTATATATATGAAGATATTTTAAAATCTTTTAGGTGAAGATTTAGAATATCTTTCTCTTCTTGAGAACAGGGAAAAGTTCTTAAATAGCAGACACACAGATTCTCATCCTATTCGGAATAGCTCATAGCCATTACCAAACACCTGGATGGGTTGAGCTGCTGGGCCTGGGCCCCTGGGACCATAGTCTCAGGCAACATTAACCTCAATTGTTGTAACATAGCCCACATAGGAAATGTTCTACATCCTACTTCGGTTGTAGCAACTGGGGTCTTAAGAGCTTATGCAGGACGATGTAATGTGCAATTATTGGTTGCTCTTTATTTGCTTCCAAAAAAAAAAAGTGAGGAAAATCAAAGATACATGAAAATAATACCAAAACCTAACAGAATATGTGACCTTCAGCCTCCATGAGTCTGAGATCAGAATAAAATGGTGCCTGTTCTCACAACTGACCATTCTGAAGGGGAGCACATCAGAAGGCCCTGGGGAGAGTGAGCCGGCTGGTGTCAGAGGGGCTAAGCCTGAGGAACGGACAGTTTCAGCAAATGTGGTCAATGGGCTTAGTCTCCAGGGGACTGAGGGCAGAGAGCTCTGAGTGTGTGTGGAAAGAAAACCTCTGACCAGGGGACTTGTGGGTGCAAAAACACTAGCCAAAGAAGGGTGCACACACCACGCCCTGGGCTAGCATGGCTCTCTGGGTTGCACTGCCCTGAAGGAGTTTCCCTGGAGAATAGGGGTCAGGATCATCTGATAGAGGTTCTTTTAGCTGGCAAGTAGTTTGCATTAACATAATGGCTCCCCAAGGGGCTGAAAGGAAAGTTGGTTTTAAGTTATATGAAATCTGGGTATTACATGATGCAGAATGGGAAAATGAACAAGTGATGACCTTTGTTGTCCTCAAAGGACACTTTCAGTTTGTCAAAGGAGCCCACTTAGTTTGTCGAAGGAGCACACTCAGTTTGGGGCTGCAAGGTCTTTCAGAGACAAGAGACAGAGCGAGACCTTTAATAGATTTATTGCAGGATCAGGTGAAGTTTTAGGGAAAAGGAAATAAAAGAAAATGGGTGAAAGGGGTTTAGGATAGTCTGATAAAGAAAGCTTAGAACTGGCCCTTTATCTAAAGCCAGAGAATTAGTTAAGTTAAAATATAGGGACCAAGAGAGTCTCTATTACATAAAGGAAGAGAAAATTAGGTTTATACAGACCCACAAACTAACTCCAATAGAGTCTGGCCAGCAAAGAGTTCAATGGCTCTGCTGTCACAGCCACAGCTTCTGCTGCTGGAGCCAGCAGGGAAAGGACAGCTGAGAGTCCCTGCCTGGAAGGTGTCCTGGAGAGAGAGCCACAGGCCTTTCAGGTAGAGAGCAGGGATGAGAAGCTAAAAGGAGAGAAAGAAGACAAAGGAAATTCCACAGTATTTGTGCTTTGGGGGCCATCTATAAATTTTGTACACATGATGATTCTCACATATCTTTCTGGTTGGTGCCAATAATTCCCATGGGCCCAGACTGAGTGTCCGAGGCTACATCACTTAATCAGGTGGGAAGATGGGCAGAGTAAGCTTTGTAAACAGAAGCTCTGTCTGCTCTGTCTTCAGTAACACTGCCACTGGACCCTAGAGGACCAATACAGCCTGAGCACTTATTTCTCTTTTGAACAATAAGTGGGAAGACCAGGGCGGATGATCCCTGCAGGACCAATGGTGTGAATGGCGATACTGGAAGGGTAGAGGGAGAATGGGTTGGAAAGAGGGAGCCGATTACAAGGA